CTCATACCTTGACAACACAGCTGTGAAGTCAGAAGCCAGCGCGTCTCTTGCCGATCAGCTGAAGGATGTACACGCGCTAGCTTTCATGCAAACATGTTAACACTGTTTAAATTGGCTTTCTTTGCCATCATGCATCTGCAGGATGCCCGCAAGCGATTGGCAGAACTTAAAGCAGCAGTCGCAGCAGAGGGTGAGGTTGAGCCTGCTGCCCGACTTGTTGAAAATGAAGCCCCAGCAAGCAGTGAGCAAGCCCAGCCTGTGGAAGTGCCTCCAGAGGCGAATCTGGAAACGCCTCCGCCAGTTTCGCCCAACCCACCTGCCAGGCGCCGGAGGATTCGAAGGAGGAAAAGCAAGCTTGATGTTGATTATGTGACAGTTGGGGGGATGGGTTCTAAACCTGACTGTGCTGAGGATGACCCCTTACCTGAGAATCCCGACAGCAAGGCCTGCAGTTCACAAGCCGCCCCTGCCCCGCATGTTCAAATCAAAGCAAGCGATACCTTGATCCTGGCCTTGCCTGATAAGCCAACCCCCGAAGCCTGTGGCACACCCGCGCCTGAGCCGATCCCAGAGCATGGGCCTGAAGAGTATGATGCGAATAAGGAGGATGCCCAAGACCCTCTTTGGTTTGAAAAGGCAAGAACCGAGGACTTCAAAGTGCTGCCCACCCCAAAGAAGCCCTCACCCCTCCGCCCAAAGTCCTTGCTTGACCAGTTTGCGCAAGCCGCGCCTTCAGGTGTACTAGCCCTGCCCGCCCCCGAAGGTGCGGCTTCGGATGATGATCTTGACTTTGAGCTATTCACCCCCAACCGCTTTGGTAGTTTGCTGCAGAAAGAACTTGGGAAAATAGAATCTCCTGGTGCGCCCGCAACTTCCGAAACACGGTTTGCAATAGTATCTGCACCAAATATCAGTGTTGAATAGTTCTGGAGTGCTCTTGTACCACTGCAATTCTAGCCTACCTAAGGATGCCTATGACAATGGGGAGGATTCGCAGGTGAACCCGGAATGTTTGATGCTTGTTTGATGCCAAGTCTTTCCCTGGGAATATAGTGCCAGGTAGATGAAACGCTAAAGGATGGCGACATCACCCCTACAGTCCTAGAGGAGGGTGAGGGTGTGTTTGAGGGCCCGCCTACTCCGGGACGCGGTGGAGGCGCCAAGGCGCTCTTGGCTCTCCTGCAGGTTTCTTGGTTTCATGCGCTAGAGTTGCCAAGTGTTGTACGTGTTCATTAACTTTATGCCTCTATAGACATGATCTTATCTAAGGGCAAAAGAGGGAATGCCAAAGGCGGCAATGATCTCGAGGAGCTGAATGCAAATGATGATGCCAAGATTGATGCGGCCCTGAGACGCCTTTGCCGACGCCGCCCCCGAAAGGGCCTGCAAGTTCCCGAAGCCGTGCATAAGCTATGGTTGAAAGGGGGCAAAACCCGCCGAGATATGGGTAAAATCCTGGTGCAGTGTGGCGGTGACAAAGTGTTGCTGCCATGAATTATACAATGCTTGTGCAATGTTGTGTGTCTGTGTCAGTGTGCGTGCGTGCATTAGTGTGTGCTCTGTATGGCAGGCAGCCTTCTGCGAGAAAGTCCACCACACTTACATCCAGAAGCGCAAGAATAAGTTTGAAGTCACCTCAGGCTTCTATACGGATCAGATGATGAAGGATGATCTCAAGTTTACACCGCAACTTAGCTAAGGTTATATTAATTTACGTATTTCTCATCTCCCCGCATTTCACTTCACCCATTTGCGATATAAGGGAAAGGCGACGTGCTATTCGCAAGTGCTGCCTGCGGGAAAAGAACAGAAAGAGCCATGTGAGGTGGGAGGGGATACCGTCATGTTTGCCCATGCGTGCTTGCTACATTAAAACCCTTTCAGTTCTGCTTTCAGTTTCTCATGGGCCCCCAGGCGCGACAAATACGAAAAGAAGCTGCTCTGGTTTTGGGTAGACATCGCCTACAAGGGCACGCACGAAGAGGAAGAGTCGGAAACGCTGACCCGTGCTACAGATTTCGGTACGAGCTCGAGCGCAAGGATTCCGCTAGGTTTGGGAACAGGTACCACTGCTGGTGGCGGTGCGCCGCCGCCCGCAGGCTCTGATGATGAAGATGAAGGAGGTGAAGAGGATGATGATGATGATGATCAGCAGGAGAGTGGTGATGACAGTGATGAGATGTCTGATGATGGGCATGGGCGAGCCAAATCCAAACGCGAGCCAGCAAAGAAGAAGGCCAGGTTGAACAAGAAAGCTTCGTTTGGGGAGGAGCTTCCTGAGGAGGTGCGCTGAGAATGTGCGATGGTATCAATACACGTTTTAATGAACATTCATGTGTTGTCAGGATATGGATGCTATCCCTACGGTCCTTAGCGAGATCCTCAAGCAGCAGGGGAAGTCCCAGAAGCTCTTGGATCGATGCCGTGAGCAAGGGCATGACAAGTCCCCACGTTTGATTTCAGAATGGGTTCAGGGGTACGCATGTTTCAGGGTGATAACTGCGGATCCGAGTGACATATCTAAGGTCTGCTGATACCCTCCAGACACAGATTACTGAACTTGCGGAGAAGCATGACAAGATTGCTGACATGAAAGCTGCTCACGACTCTGAGGAAACCGTGGATCAAAAGTAATTTGGTTGCATGTGTCAATTATGGCTTCCCCAATCTGTCCTCCATGATGCGGTTGAGCTGCGTGATCCCAGGCAGCTCTCGAAACTCCTGGCGGACGTGAGCAAGCTGATCCATGCTCATATATAAGATTTGTTGCGTGATTTCCTTCTTGCAGCGCATGTTGTATTGTGTGCAGTCTGCTAATCCCAGGATCTCGCGAATGGCTCTTGAAGAGAACAAAATCAAGAAGAACCTACCTCAGTTGTCCTATGAATCATGTACACGCCCTATAACCCCAGAATACCTCGAAACCATGCATCCCATTGCTCAGGACTGTGCTGTCCAATTCCAGAAAGCCCGGGCCCAAGGCCTCTGGAAAGAAGCCAAAGGCAGCGCCCAAGAAACGTGGGAAGAAACCTGCCGAGTAGAAGGGAAGATTTTGTCAACCCACTGTTTCAGTGTAGGGTCCTATCCCTATAGCGGCCACCCATTTTGAATAGCGTAACTACATCGATCGATCTGCACTGATTCAACAGTGGGGTGTTATACCTGGTAGGGGTTTGAAGGCAAGCCAGCTGTGTTTGCTGCGGAAACCACGTGCAATTGTCGCATGTGCTGGGGAACCATGGTGGTGAAAAAAGCTGTGCCATGTACACTGCAATGCGAAATCCATTGTTCTGCACTCATGAGCCATACCCGTACTTAACCTGGGCCGCGCAGGTACCATTTCATCTACATCAGTGCTGTCATCAGGCAGCAAGTGCTCTACGCATGAGGAGTCTGGGCCTATCAGCAGAACCTTAGCTAAGAGCTTGACAAAGGGAGCCGCTTGACAACCTTTTGGGTGCATATGGTTTATGTTAAGTCCCTGAAATACTCCAGTGCCATAGTAATCATAATTCAGGGGATGGATCTACAGTAATGCAATATCAATCGTGGTTGTGGGGCGTTGGGCACTCTTGTTCTAATCTATGTTGGCAATAATAAACCCCCCATTATAGCCTTATCAAAGTATACCTTATTGTGGATCCGTGGCCTCACCGTCTTCTGATGCTGGGATATATGGTCCAACCTGGGCGGGTATTAGGGGAATTGGATCTGGCTTGGGGTGTTCTTTGGGCAAACCCCTTGAATGGTTTTAAATTCCATTGAACTCAGGTTTCACATGAGATGGCAGCTGAAATTGCCGATGCTATAGTCAAAGAATGTCAACACGCGTTTGGCGAGGGGGCTACTTCAAGACTGCAATCTTCGAGGCTTTTAAGTCTAATGAGCCACGGCTTCAGAAGTGGACATGCTGCTGAGGCAACCCGTTTGGCCCTGGGTAGCATGCTGGATGTTTCGTTTCCTCTGCCGATTTCTATGGTGGATGTTGGGACTGACACGCTGAGTCCAGTGATATTTCTGAGCGATTACATCAAAACACTCGCGAGATTGGGGAAGCTAAGCATCTTAACTGGCAAGCAACCTTTCTCCCGCCTCCGTGAATTCTGGATTAATTTCCAAACGCTACGCCCCCAGCACCCAGTGTTTGATCTGGACGAGTCAGAGTGGTCCTATGCTATACCACTTTACCTTATTGCTGATGAAGGGCGTGGATTGAAGAAGTCAGCGGTAATGGTGCTGGGCTCCGAGCCGGTGCTCGGGTTCGGCTGCGACCAGGAAGATGAAGCAACTGCAGCGGAAACGCTCAAGATGAACTTTCGGGGCAATACTTTCCAGACGCGGCAGTTGTTCTCTGTAATGCCCAAGAAAAGATACAGCAAAACTGACAACCCCTTGCACGCATTGATTTCAGCCTGGAGTGCAGACCTTGGCAAAACATTCAGGGAGGGCCTCCTTCTTGATATTGGTGGAACAGTGGTCCGCATACGAGCCGTGGTCATCGGCCTCAAAGGCGACTGGCCGGCTCTTGACAAGTTAGGAAGGCTGGTCCGACACTTTCGTAGAGAAGCGTACCCCTGGGGCGCTGGAATCTGCCATTTGTGTGAGGCTAATTCTGAGAGGTGCCCCGAATGGCACCACCATGACTTGGATACAGCCCCATGGGTGGCCTCAATGAACAATGCTACTAAACCCTGGCTACCTGGAAAAGAATCCAGCTTTACCATCGACATCCCCATGGAGGAGAACATGAAGCCAATGTTCTATTTGATCGATCTTTTCCATACATGCCATAAAGGGGTTCACGCTGATTTGGCAGGCTCTGCCATCGCTTCTAGGTTATAAAGTACTTGTTTATCGTAGCATTCTGTGTTTTTGTTACGCTAATTCTTAAGTATAGACGTATATGGAGTATATGGAGGTCTAGTATTATAAAATACCCAAACCCATAATCTATCTATACTTAAGGGGGACCATAGATAGTGTAAGCAAGACTACGACAGGTCACATTGCTGGACCTAGGGCTTTCTGGTTGCGAAGCTGTTGGCGCTATCAAGTGCTTGGAGCATCTGTTTAAGGAGATGAAAAGTTTTGCTATGGAGAACAACCTTTACCTGCACATGAACGCTTCGACCCGCACCATTCTCTCTTGGTCATCCCATGCAGATTACCCAACGGGGTGCCTAGTCTAAAATTCGTATAGATAGTTTTGATCTTTTATAGTTATAGTTCAAACAAGAATTCAAATTAACATGCTTGTTTTCCCCAGAGTATGCTACATTCAGGTTCTGGTTTAAAGGAGCTGATACAGTTGTGGTCATCAAGTTCCTGATTTGGAAATATACTGGCCTCCTTGAATCCGTTGCCGAAAGGAACAATGCGGACTACCTGAATGAAATACTCAACTGCCTGAATGCTGCAAACGATTTCATGAGCACCCTCTACCGTTCTGGGCTTTTCTTGTCTAGGCTACGATTGACCAGAGTAGTACGAGTTGGCAAAGCCATGTTGAGTAGCTACTCTTTGTGTGCCAGGGCGGCCTTTCACAGGTCGCTGGCACGGTTTAAATTCAACCCCAAGTTTCACATGCTGTGTCACATTGTGTTGCAGCTCAAGCAAGACTTGGATGCTCATAGGCGTCCCATAAACCCAATTTCGTATAGTTGTCAGATGCCCGAAGATTTCATCAACAGGGTATCTACACTATCCCGCGCAGTCCATTCGAAAGTGGTGGAGTTACGCACGCTGGATTTATACAAATTAGGTGTTGGCCAAGCGCTGCAAGAAGGCTGAGCCCTCGGCGCAGCAGGAGCTGATGCAGCAGCCCAGGGATCGAACTTGAGCAAAATTGACCATTTTCACCAACACCCCCCCCCCCCCCAAAACCTACCACTTTCAGGACTTGCTCCAGAAGGTATCACCAGTGACTGGTCGCAGCTTTTGTTCCCACTTTAGATATTCAGGTAAACCCTAGACCCTAAACGCAACCTTAAACCCTACATTTCAGTCTCGACCCAGAGGACTCCCGTGTTGCTGCACCAATCCTCGTGCCAAAGCAATGGAATAAACGGAAGCCCGATCAAGCATGTATGTGGCGTCCTGGCGCGCGCGCATAGTATGTAGCTCTAATGGCCGTCTAGAACTTGAAACCCTACCGCGCCATGTGTTCTCTTGTTGGTACCTAAACTTCAGGAAAGGATCCACTGAACAGTTTTGGATTCATGAGGACCGGTTAGAGACACCAGAAACTGAAATGCATCAGTGTAAGATGCATCACAGTTGAGGATGAAGCCCCCATCTTTACAATCTGTGCAACTTCACCCTCAAGCCCTCAAGCGCGAACCCAAAACCAGCCATTCTGGGTTTCCGATTTGGGATGTTTCCCAAAATTTGGTGGTCCCTTTTTGGGTGTATTTGGGGCTTATGAATAGCCCCATCTCAAACAAGAGAGGAGCCCTCACCCTGGTGTCCCTCCCGGACTGCTGCTGCTTGGTCACTCCACAAGCAAGACCATTGGGCACGAACGCGATGCTGCTGACAGTCAGAGACCTAGCGGACGATGCTACAGGCAACATGACATGAACAAGACAAAGAGAGTCCCCCTAAACGCTTAACACCAAACCCTAAGCCCTAAACCGTAGACCCTAAACCCCAACCCAGAAAACACCTAAACCTTGTCAAATAACACTTTCTTTGGGCCATGAGGCCTAGAAATGATACCTACCTTGGGCGATTTGGATCCCAACGGAATCCTCAGAATCCACGTCCAATGCTGGGCTTGGGTCGAAATATAGGTTTAGGATTTAGTGTTTAGGGTTTAGGATTTAGGGTGTAAGGTTTAGGGTTTAGGGTTTAGGGGTTAGGATTTAGGGTTTAGAGTTTCTCTAAGTATGCCACTTGATGTGTGAGATCAAGCAGCTCTCAAACCTTACACCCCAAACCCTCAACCCCTAGATATCCACCCTATCCATTGGCCTAAAGCCCGGCTCCAAAGCCTTCCCAGTGCATTTTGAATCACAAAAATGTCCAAATAGTGCTTTCCACATAATTTACCATTTTCCATTTGACTTCGCATTTCCGGGGTAGTATCCCGATTGTATATATATATATATAATGTGCATCCCTATATATCCCCGTATAAACCGTAAACTTCTGAGGGCTGCATACTACGTCTCAAGCCCAGCAGCCCTCAGTAATATACTCGGTGGGAATCACGTGTTTTTTTTTTTCATGGTTTCGGGTTTAGGGCTCAGGACACCCCATGCCGCATTCGCCCATGCTTCTAGGAAGCCCGAACCCCAAGCCCTAAACCCAAAATACAGACCCCTAGACCCTAAAACGTAAACCGCACGGAGGAGACTTGTTCAATACAGCTCAGTTTTCTGGCTCGCCGCCCGTGTGGGGCCAAAGGACTCGCATAATTAGGAACCCCTTCGAACCTTCCTGGCCAGGACGATTTACTTTCAAACTGCTGAGATTTTGGGGGGCTCTGGACTCCTCCTCCGTCAAAATCCCAAGGGCTCCATGTCCCAAATGCCAAAAGCCGAGCCCCAAAGTCGTCGTATGGAACCCACTTGGGCCCAAAGCATATCCTGCAATTATATTGTGGAAGCCACTTGGGCCCTAAGTATGAATTTATAGAACCCACTCGGGCCCTATGTATATGATATATAGCTAGTATTTACCGACAAGTACCAATTACCTACGAGGACCGTTTGGGGACATCCTCCAAGGCACACATCGTTTCCCTCCAGCGCGAAGGATTCCTGGAATTTGACTGAACCGGGTTTAGGGTTTAGGGTTTAGGGCCTAAACCCTTTCCTACAGCGCCCAGCCAGAGCCAGGTACACACCTACGGGAAATGTATATCCCAAGTACTAGAGTGTCATAAAGCAGGTTAGGATTTTGACCTGGGGTAAACAGAATCAAAGAGCACTCTAAAAGGAGNNCTCTTTGATTTCTTGGGTTTATATGCCTATGATGGTCATAAAATCCTAACCTGTCATAAAGGGTCCTAAGTTCCTACGTCCTAGACAAAGTAAGGATTCTGTCGTAGTAGGACTTCCCTCATGGTATGGGTAAGCATCCACCATATCGGTACTTAGGACGCCGCAGGGCTCTTTTTGATATAGGCCCTTCGGGGCTAGGGAAGAAAAGACGAATTTATTACATCAAATAGTTTTGGTAACATGGCGAAAGAACACACTTTCTCGGAACTTGTACCGAGACCCTCCAGCCACCTTCTATTCAAGCCTCAAGGCCTACTAATGAGGGGTCCTATATTTCCAATTAAGGGTACTAGGAGGGTCCTGGTATTCATCCCTGGCAAGGTTTGGCTTGTTTAGGGTGTTGTGCTATGAAAACAAATCTCTCTATGAACAAGACGATATCCCTGCTATGTGGTTCCGCGAATAGGAGGACCTCAATATAGACCCCTGCATACTCGAATCCTTATTCTAGGAACCTCGTCCAAAAAATACCCCTATGCTGGAAGACCCTCATCCCAACACCCTTTTTAGCCCGATATAATCCCTATAACAGGGACCCAAAAAAAATTCCCAAACCTCCATTCGTCTACCCCAGCGCTCGCACGAGTCATTCTTAGACAAAGGCTCCACCAAAATACTTTGTAAGGGCTTACCTGATCACCCCACGTAGGAAAAATAATAGCTCTAAACACCCAAAAATAACCCAAAGACAAATATTCTCCATACTTTTGGGGTTCTGGTAGGGTTTAGGAGGCTTCAGATCCCTGAACACTACCCCGGGGCTCCTATGTACCAGGGCCCTCCTAGTCCTAATACCCTTAATTGGGGATATTGAGCACTTAATCGTAGCTACTTTGGCCTGAAGAGAGGATAGCTGGAGGGTCTGGCTACTCCCTTTTTGGATTTGTTATGGGTTCTGCGGTAAGGGATTACATTGATTACATTAAACCACCCCAACACCCACAACCCTACGCCAAACATCTAAGTCACCTGACATTCTTCTTTTCAATCCTTCTGAATAAAATGACAGATGTCATATATACCCTAAACCCTAAACCCAGGAGCTACAATCCAGCTCTTGGAGGGGGCGCTTCCTCAATGGCATGAGTAACTGCAGAGCTAGTGACCCTCCATCCTTTCCCATGTACCTACCGCAGGATCCCCATAATTAACGGCGCAGGGCCCACCTTTACCTTACTGAAAGCTTATAGGCCGGGCGTAAACTACACTGAGCCATGTCTAATTCTGAGTCGCAGTCCTCCAAGGCTGCAGCTGAAGCTGGATCTGACCCCAAATCCGATGCATGGAAGGTGGTCACATGCAAAGGTGCCTTGGACTTGGGGCAACAAAGCCGCGGGCTTTAGGTCTTTGGGGTGTACCTTCAGCAGGCAGAATGCAGATTAGTAAATGGTGATGCTGTACCTTGTGTTGCGGTTCCGTTCCTTATCTGTAGCGCCTGTCAGGTTACCCTGGATATGGGTATAGGATGGGTTGAGAGCATAATTTCACAACTTTCCATGTAGAAAGCAAGTCGCGGGTATGGCGTAGCGCTTGAGTTGCAACGCCTCCTTGGGAACATCCTGGCAGGAACTTGCAGAAGCAGCTCTGGCAGGGCTACGGCTTGAGGTAGGCCCTAAACCCTAAGCCGTAGACCTGGGTGCTGAGGTTCCTTGAGGTTGTGGCTGCCTGTCTGGTCTCCTAGCAACCATCGGGCAACCTGAATGAAAGAAACATCAACGTGATCTCCATAGGGGCGGAAAAGTAACACTAGCCTGGGTTTACTCTGGGGTGTAGGTTTTACATACGATAGCACAAGCTAGCAGGGTAGCTGTCTGAGTGCTCTTGCCTGTCAAAACAGAAACATGTTTTTTTGAAGAGGATGGAACCCACCAAGCTTGCTATTACGCCTACCGGGAACAAGGACAGCACACGAAGGAGCGAAAGACCTTGGATGCAAAAGCCTACCCTCCAACATCAGCGCCTGTCAGAACGCGCTAAACTTACGGGCGCTATAGGCACACTTAGCCATGACGAGGTATTGCAGGGTCCCTATAAGACAAAGCCCGATCTTCTGTAAATGCCTAGCATCGTCAGGACTTAATGAACGCAACCTTCTTCGTGCCACCATCCTGAACACAAGATAGACACACATGTAGCACTCTTTAAACCAACAGATGTCCATAGGGAACCCCGTTTGATGTTCCAGATTCGTCGGGCGGCGTTCCAGAAAATCACAACAACCATAACTGGACGATGTAGTTTTTTGCGCACCTAGCTAGACCCCTCAGCTACCCTCTATCCAGGCGGAAGTACCCCCTATTAGGGCCCCTATATCCCCAATCAAGGGTATCCCCAATCAAGGGTACTGAAGGGAAGGCCCTGGTAGACCATACGTAAATGTGTTACTACGGGCTTGAACCCAAGCCCCACGCCCAGGGTTTAGGGCTCAACGGTTTAGGGTCTAGGGTTTAGTAAACCGCTCAGCCCACACACCAGAGCGACCCGTACACCAAAACTCATTTGAGCTACAGTCTAAACTCCTTAAAGAGGGTTATATAGGG